CCCCCCCCCCCCGCCCCGCGCCCATGTAACTCTGTTTTTAGATTGTATGCTCTTCAAGTATTTCTTTATGCAAATAACATACTCTTATTTTCACTTCCTTTTTCAACTAAGGTAGCATATTTTTATGTTTTTCATCTTATATGACAGTTGTATAATGGCAGGTTTTTTTTGTATCGATGCATAGAGAACTTCCTCATTCTCTCTTACATTTGCAAAGTATTGCATTGGGTGGATGTATTAAATACCACCATTGGGTGGATGTATTAAGTAGCTCCATATTGCTCATTTCATTAAGATTTGGCTAGAATGAAGGTTAGCACCACATTCCTATAAAATTGTGCTTTTAATTACTTACAAGAGTCATAACCCAGGTGATACCAAGAGAGGAAGAAAAACAATGACCATCAAATTTGTGTTTTTTATTCACTTGACATAGCAAATTTAAGTGAAATTCAAGAAAAATCATGTGTTGAGTGCTTGCCAAATACTGTTGAATTGTTTATTCTTAGGAGTTACAATAACATTTTAGAATTGAAAATCTTTGCTCTGACATGTGTGTAAAATACCAGTTTCTCAGGGCACCTGGGTCGCTCAGTCAATCAAGCATCTAACTCTTGATTTTGGCCCAGGTCATGGGAATGAGCCCCACGTCAGGTTCTACGCTGACAGCATGGAGCCTGCTTGAGATTTTCTCTGACTCTCCCCTGTTCATTCATTCTCATTCTCTCTCTCTCTCTGTCTCTCAAAATAGAGAAATAAAAAATAAAATATGAATTTCTTTTTTTCCCTAGTGAAAAGTAACATACAAGGTTTATTGATCATATTAATTGCAGTGTATTTCATGAATTGCATCAGGAAATTGTTTTGAGTTCAGTTGTAAGAAACTAATGCAAAAAGTATAGCTAATTACCACCTGGGTCCCAAGTTAATTAAAAGCTCCCAATAATGTATGTAAACCAATTTGATAATAAATTACATTTAAAAAAAAGTTCCCAATAAACAGTATTGTTTTGAATGGTAGGGTTATAGTAGACAAGACATGGAGAAGAGCAGAAGTTTTTAGTTGTATGTTAGGCACTCCAACTGAGATGATAGAGAACTTAAAGTGGTTTTCTGTTATTGGTGTACAAACCAAGTTCTTGCAAAATGCAGAAAAGAGGAAAATCAGTCGCAGAAAAGGAAGGAAGGATGCAACAGAGAGGGAGAATTAAAATCGTAAGTGCTGAGGTGACAAAAAGAAATATTGTTGGGTGAGCATAAAGCAGCAAACTGAGAGGAAAATTCAGATAAACCAGAAATTGTTGGGAAAGTGAAAGAAAACGGAGACAAAGATTTTCAAAGAATATTCAGAAGTTGTACATATGTTGCCTATTTCAGAAAATAACAACAGCAAGTACCTAAACATTCAAAACATCTAGATTATAATACACATACCTCGTTTCATTGCACTTTGCAGATAACTGCATTTTTTTTTTTTAATTGAGGGTTTGTGGTAATCCTACGGGGAGCAAGAATATCAGTACCATTTTTCCGACAGCATTTGCTCACTTTGTGCATTCATGTCACATTTTGGTAATTCTTGCACTATTTCAAACTTTTATTTTTTATTCTTTTTTATGTTTATATTTTTGAGGGAGAGAGACAAAGCGTGAGTGGGGGAGGGGCAGAAAGAGAGGGATACACAGGATCCAAGCAGGCTCCAGGCTCTGAGCTGTCAGCACAGAGCCTGACGCGGGGCTCGAACTCATGAACCTCGAGGTCACGACCTGAGCTGAAGTCAGATGCTCAACCGACTGAGTCACCCAGGCGCCCCATCAAACTTTTCATTATTAGTATATTATGATGATTTGTCAGTGATCCTTGGTGTTACTATTGTAATTCTTTTGGAACACTGAGAAGAGCGCCCATCTCAGATGGTGAATTTGATCAAATGTGTGTTTTCTGACTGCTTCACCAGCCTGCCATTTCCCTGTCTCTCCCTATTCTTGGGCCTCCGTATTCCCTGAAACAACAACAACACAAATTCGTCCAATTAATAATCCCACAATAGCCTGTCAGTATTCAAGTGAAAGGAAGAGTCATATATCTTGCACTTTGGATCAGAAGTTAGAAATGATTAAACTTAGAAAGGAAGGCACGTGGAAAGCTGAGATAGGCTGAAAGCTGGGCCTCATGTGCTAAATAAATAGCCAAGTTGTGAATGCAGAGGAAAAGTTCTGGAAGGGAATTAATAGTATTACTTCAGTGGACATACAAATGATAAGAAAGTCAAGTAGCTTTTTTGCTGATATGGAGAAAGTTTGAGTGGTCTGCATGGATCAAACCAACCACAACATTCCCTTAAGCCAAACCCTACTCCATAGCAAGGTCCTAACTCTCTTCAGTTCTGTGTAGCCTGGGAGAGGTGAGGAAGTTGCAGAAGAAAAGTTTGAAGCTAACAGTGGTTCATGAGGTTTAAAGAAGGAAGGCATCTACATAACATCAAAGTGAAAGGTATAGCAGCAAGTGCTGCTTTAAAAATAGAAGATCTAGGGGCGCCTGGGTGGCGCAGTCGGTTGAGCGTCCGACTTCAGCCAGGTCACGATCTCGTGGTCCGTGAGTTCGAGCCCCGCGTCAGGCTCTGGGCCGATGGCTCGGAGCCTGGAGCCTGTTTCCGATTCTGTGTCTCCCTCTCTCTCTGCCCCTCCCCCGTTCATGCTCTGTCTCTCTCTGTCCCAAAAATAAATAAACATTGAAAAAAAATTAAAAAAAAAAAAAAATAGAAGATCTAGCTAAGATAATTAGTGAAGGTAACTATGCTAAGCAATAGATTTTCAGTGTAGATGAAACTGTCTTCTGTTTGAAAAAAATGCAATTTAGGACTTTCATAGCTAGAGAGGAGAAGTCAGTGCCTGGCTTCAGAACTTCAAAGAACAGGCTCTCATTAGGAGCTAATGCAATTTTAAGTTAAAGCCAATGCTTATTTACTATTACGAAAATCCTAGGGCCCTTAAGAATTATGCTAACTCTACTCTGCCTGTGTTCTAAAAATAGAACAACAAAGCCTGGATGGCGGCACATCTGTTTACAGATATTCTAAGTCCACTGTTGATAACTGCTCAGAAGAAAACATTCCTTTCAAAATATTACCGCTCACTGACAATGCGCCTGGTCACCCAAGAGTTCTGAGATGACTGTTGTTTTCATGCTGCTAAGCCAACATCCATTCTTCAGCTCATAGATCAAGGGGTTATTTCAATATCCAAGTGTTATTATTTAAGAACTACATTTCCTAAGGTTATAGCTGTCATAGTTAGGGATTCTTCTGATGGATCTAGGTAAAGTAAATTGTAAACCTTTTGGAAAGTTTTCACCATTCTAGATGCCATTAACAATATTTGTGATTCATGGGAAGAGGTCAAAATATCAACATTAACAGGACTTTGGAAGAAGTGGATTCCAGCCCTCATGGATAGCTTTGAGAGGTTTGAGACTTGTTTGGAGAAAGTGACCGCAGATGTGGTGGAAGTAGGAAGAAAACTAGAAGTAGAGCCTGAAAATGGGACTGAACTGCTGTAATCTTGTGATAAACCTTCAATGGATGAAGAATTGCTTCTTACTGATGAGCAAAGAAAGTAGTTTCTTGAGATAGGAACTGTTCCTGCTGAAGATTCTGTGAACATTGTAGAAATGACAACAAAGGGGTTAGAATATTACAGAAACTTATATAATAAAGCAGTGGCAGGGTTTGAGAGGATTGATTCCAATTTTGAAAGAAGTTCTACTGTGGGTAAAATGCTATCAAACAGCGTCGTATGTGACAGAGAAATTGTGAAAGGAAGAATAAATTGATATGGCAGATTTTATTGCTCTTATTTTAAGAAATTGCCACAACCATCCCATTCTTCAGCAGCTACCACCCCTATCCATCAGCAGCCATCAACTTTGAGGCAAGACCCTGCACTAGCAAAAGGATTATGATTTGCTGAAAGCTCAGATTAGCATTTTTTAGCCGTAGAGTATTTTTTAATTAAGGTATATATGCTGATTTTTCAGATATGCTATTGCACACTTAGTAGATAGTTTAACATAACTATTATATGCACTGGGAAACCAGGAAATTCATTTGACTTGCTTTATTGCGATATTTGCTTTATTATGATAGTCTGGCCCCAAACCTGCAATATCTCCAGGGTATGCCTGTATTCTTACTAAATTAAACAGTACAGTGGACTCTTGAAAGACAACATGGGTTCACTTATACACTGTAAATATATTTTATGATTTTCTTAACGTTTTCTTTTCTCTAGCTTTATAAGAATATAGCATATAATGCATATAACACACAAAATATGTGCTAATGTACTGTTTATATTACTGGAAGAACCAACAATAGACTATTAATAAGTTTTGGGGGAGTCAGAAGTTATATGCAGATTTTCAGCTGCATGGCAGGGTGCCTCCAACTCTGCATTGTTCAAGGGTCTACTGTGTATCAATATACTTTAGAGGGATTCTCAGTAATCAACTACTAGGGAATATTGTTGCTTTAAAATGAATTCTCACATAACCAGAGTATGTAGAAAGGACTCATTCCTGATCATTTCAGTTAAATGTAAGTTATTGTAAATAATTGTAGATGAGATCTCAGGAAAGGCTTGAAATGATGATTTTAAATTGAGTTTTACTGAGAGTGGAATTCTGTGTCATTGTGCTTGGCATAGCTATTCATAGTCTCTCTTTTTACTTTTTTCACTTCAGTAATTTTATATATTTGCATATAAGTGATTATCCCATTTTTGTGTCCAGAGTAGTAAATTTCATTTGTTGAATGCCTGTGAACCTGGATTTCTTTCTGCATCCAGCTACCAAAAGCTATGTAATTATGTGAAGTTGTATGTATACATTTATTTGGCCATTAAGTAATATTCAATTTCACTATGTGATTAGTACTATAAAAGATAAAGAAAAGAAATACAGCTGCTATGCTGCCTGTGACTTAGAGGATAGAGCATAGAGCTCATAAGTCCAGGTTGTCACATTCTAGACAACCCTCAAATAGTCTCAAAAATTACTTGAAGTTACTGCATGAAATTCCCCACACCTGGAAATTTCTTCATATACAGTACATAGTGTTATAAAAGCTACTCAGTAAAAGTTTCCAAATTTTTAATACCAGAGTTGTTCAATTTCTGCCTCTCTACATTGTTGTCACACTCAGTATATCCTTATGAGGATGGAACATCTCTCATTACAGAGTCCTTCTGCCTCTCTTTCTAAAATACAGTCAAAGTTTTTCATGGTGTTTTCTGTGGGCACAGGTGAAAATACTTTTGGAGTTAACAAATCACCTAAGCTCCCTAACCTAGGAAATGAAGTGGATTCTCTTCTTTCCCAGTAGTATTGGAGAGCTCCCACAGAATTAATCCTAATTCCTGATGCTATCTTTCCTAGGAGAAAGTGCCTTTTGATTATGCCATTTACTTCTTAATAAATAAATTTAATCACATGAATTTCCTGGAGACCTGTGATTTGATCTATTCCTAGGAGCTTTCTTCTAAGATAACCTTAAAAATTTGAAATGGTTGCTTTGGTTTTGAGACCCAGTGACTGGTAGTTTAGACACACCCACTATCTGTCTTTAAATATATGCAAATAAAATATCCAATAAGGAGTTAATACCCAAAATATATGAAGAATTTAAACAACTCCAAAAAAACACAAACAAAACAAAACAAGAAACAATTCAATTAAAAAATGGTCAGAGGACCTGAATAGACATTTTTCTAAACAAGATACAATGATAGCCAACAGACACATGAAAAGCTGCTCAACATCACTAATCATCAGGGAGATGCAAATTAAAACCAAGAGATATCATTTTACATATATCAGAATGACTAAAAAAAACCAAATGAAACAAGTGTTAGTGAAAATGTGGAGAAGAAAGAACCCTAGTGCACTGTTGGTGGGAACGCAAACTGGTGCAGCTGCTGTGGAAGACAGTATGAAGGTTCCTCAAAAAAAAAAAAAAAAAAAAAAAAAAAAAAAAAAAAAAAAAATAGAATTACCATATGATCTAGTAATTCCACTACTGGTTATTTACCCAAAGAAAATGAAAATAGACATCTGGGTGGCTCAGTTGGTTGAGCATCCAACTTCAACTCAGGTCATGATCTCACAGTTCGTGAGTTTGAGCCTCACATCAGGCTCGCCGCTGTCAGCACAGAGCCCGCTTCAAATCCTCTGTCCCCCTCTCTTTGCCCCTCCCCCACTTGCATGCTCGCTCGCAATCAATAAACATTACAAAAATAAATAAAAACAGTAATTCAAAAAGATCCGAACACTCCTGTGTTCATTGCAGCATTATTTACAGTAGCCAAGATGTGGAAGCAACCCAAGCAAGTGTCCATCAATAGATGAATGGGTAAAGGAGTGGTATATATGTATTATTATTCAGCCATAAAAAAGAATGAAATCTCAGGGTGCCTGGGTGGCTCAGTCGGTTAAGTGTCTGACTTTGGATCAGGTCATGATCTTGTGGTTTGTGGGTTTGAGCCCTGTGTCGGGCTCTGGGCTTAACAGCTCAGAGCCTGGAGCCTGCTTGGGATTCTGTGTCTCCCTCTCTCTCTGCCCCTCCCCAGCTCGTGCTGTGTCTCTATGTCAAAAATAAATATGTAAAAAAAAGAGTGCAATCTTGCCATTTGCAACAACATGGTTGGACCTAGGAGGTATAATACTAAGTAAAATAAGTCAGTCTAAGACTAGTATCATTGATTTCACTTATATGTGGAATTTAATAAATGAAAAAAGAAAAAGACAAAAACTAGGTGTATTGAAACAGACTTTCAGAATTTAATGATTTTTTAATTTTTTATTTTTTCAAAATGTTTATTTTGAGAGAGAGAGTGTGAGTAGGGGAGGGGGAGAGAGACAGGGTGAGAGAGAATCCCAAGCAGGCTGTCCACGCTGTTGGTGCAGAGGCTGTCGCAGGGCTTTATCCTACGAAATGTGAGATTATGACCTGAGCCGAAACGAAAAGTTGGTTGCTTAACTGATGGAGCCACCCAGGTGCCCCTAATGATTTTTTAAAATAAACTTAGCAGTGTCATTTTCATGTGAAACGAGTTTACATATTTTTACAGACTTTTCAAAATTACACAATGTATGTCCGTGGCACAGATTAGTTTAAGAACAATGTGTACTTTTCTAGAAGTCATGCAACATCATAGCAGCAGTTTATAAATGTAACAAAATTAACTTTTTTACTTTGAAAATTTAGTACCTAGAAGAACTTTTTATTGTTCAATAATCTCAAAGCACTTGGGATTCATAGTGCCGATCAGAGTTGAAAGACAGCCCTGAAATATAGGAACTATCAGTCTAGAACCAAACCAAAAAGTCACAATAGCCCTCTGACTCTTCTGTATCCTGATGTTTATTAATTGACAAACAGTGACAGTGTGTTCTTCATCTGACCTTGATCTGCAGATGCCTCTTCTATGTCAAGACAAGTTAGTACTTTAAAATACTGAAATGTTTGAGACTCTTTTACTTGATGTGGCATATTCTGTTGCTTAGTTCAAATGGTCTAGGATGAAATGTGCTATGTACAGTTTGTGTAAGCCCCTTTTCATTTAAAATTAAATCGTGAGTATTTTCTGTGTCATTAGGTATTGATATCCAAAATTTTTCTTTAAGAATATATATTAATGAATTCTGTAACCATGTTGTTATATGTAACAGTCATCTATTGTTGGACATGTGAGTTTCCAATATTTCATTATTCTGAGTATCCTTGCAGCTTAGTATTTGTACACATCTATGTAGATGTAGATATATACCAAATTTGAAGTTCTCTTATTTGTATAGTCTTATTTTAATATTTAATCTACTTGTGTCTTCACACATATTAAGTAAACCTGCTTTGGTATTTCCTTCACTATAGATATCCATAAAAAGTTATAATCTATCAGAAGAATAATTTAAAATGCCAGATAATTATATAAGTCATACATGTAATGTCACAGAAGGCTTGAGTGCTCAAGAAAGACTTATTGAAATATCAGTATTTGTGATTGGACCTTTTTGTACTTTTGGTTGCCTAGTCAGTGCATCTCTCTTTTTCCCCTCCTTGTAGAGCTCTGATTGTTATTGTGTAGGTTGGTGTACCTATACATGGCCCTATCTATAGCTTAAATCTCTTAAGCTCTTTTTTTCTCATTTGGGATGGCTGAGCAGGTAAAAGGGAAAAGGTTCTTTGATAAAGATCTTTGGTTTTCTCAGTTAACTTATTCTGAAGCTGCCTTATCTTCCTGACTTCTTATTATATGAAATAGTAAACACTCTTGTAAGTTTAAGCCATTTTGAATGGTGCTATTTATTACTTGCTCCAGAAAGCATACGGTTAAACTTTGAGAGATGGAATCGGTTTTGTAGAGATGAAAAATCCTGCATATAAACATTTCTGGTGGGAGAAATCACATAAGCAAAGATGAGACATGTTCCAGGATTCATCAGACTTATGGACATACATAAGTTTCTCATGCCTTCTACCAAAGAAGGGAGAGTTGCC